AAGTCGCTTTTGCAGCGTTGTCATCAGAAGCCTCACATCCTCAAAACTCTCACTAAACTGCAAATAACTATTTATATTTAAATATTTAATTAAATTATTTTCAATAACGCTTTTTGTATTACCGATTTCATTATAAACAAAATAAATGTTAATTAAAATGTATATTTTGAATGATCTTTTTTTTTTTTGCTTTCTATGCTCTGGCCCTATCTTAACGCATGAGCTATTGCCTATTACGCCCTTTCCATTAAATATTGAGTCCGGCGCCGCCACCGTTAAAGCGCTACGATCGACTGAAGCGGCAGCCGCCGTCGCCTAAGTTTGTACATGCGAGGTGCGACTATTTAGTATTTACACACATGTAAGCTCGTAAAATAACGTGAATAGCGCATGCGCATACCGCTACCAGAGGTGACTTACTCGATGAAAATTAATTTTTTTTAATTCATATTTTCCTATTTTTTATGATCATAATCTATATAATGTGTATTAAAATTTTTTAATGGATATTTTAAAAAACAGAATAAGAATTTAAATTTGAATGTTGGTTTGGTTCATCCTGAAAAGTTGCAAAAATCGAGATACGACGTTTTTCTTTGGGGCCATTGATGTAATCGGGATGGCTATAGTGTCAAATAAGACGCTGTATTGTCGAACTGCTTCAATTAGCGTTTCTTCCATAATAATATATAGCTTAATAAAAAAATTTGAATTCAAAGTCGAAAAAGTTGAAAAACTGCGCTACACATTCGCAAAAAACTGTGTCATAAACACTGTGCGACGCAGACTGACGTAGGAGCAGTACTGCGCTGTCCTACCCTGCAACTTAATTTACGCTCGTCTGTTCAAACCAGTAGATCACAAAAACTGTGCTGCGCTAAGCTACGTCTCAATTTGCGCCCGGCCTCACATATTTTGTAATTTGGTGTATCGACGTGTGGTGTGTGCTGAGAGTGAATTAACTTAATAGCATCAATGCCGAACAGTCAAGACGTTATTTGTATAGTACTGGTCTTATTATATTTTTTAATATATTTTAATTCAATAATTATTGTTATTAATCAATAATAAATAAAAATGAATACAGAATTGGTGGAAACCGGCGATGAAAGTGTTGACCGGCGTCTGCCGTCTGGTATAGTGTATAATGTACATTAGGTACAGTGTTGTCCAAGCTATAGTATTTTATGGTACTTACAACATACACTAATTCTTCTTCTAATTAATTTAAGTAAAACTAGATGGTGCTGAGATAAAAATTAATTCAGTTTACTAATGACTAAATTTATCTATAAGGTCATTAGATCATGGTAAGTAAAACACATTTAAAAAATAAGTATTTGAAATTATCTTTAAATATTTTTTTAAAGTATTTGTATTTGTTCATGAATACTTTTTTTTCCAAGTATTCAAATACGTATTTTAAATACTTTTAGAAGTATCTTTTACAAGACTGATGTCAGATAGGTACCATACTTATTAACCGGTTAATTCAATTCCAGTTATTTAATATTAATTATTATATCTTAAAAGCAGCTAGCAGCAGCCTTATCATAAAATAGTAATTTTTAAAATAAAACTTTAAAGAAAATAAATTTCTAGTATTGGATATCACATAATGATTATTATAGTTGACCTAAAAAAAATTAAGAGGGGGCAAATGCAACCACGGGCCCTCTGAGGACGCCCTCACCTACAGGGGCGGTTCCTGAGACTTGGTTGGGAGGGGGGGCCTAATAGTTGCAACTTTCACAAAACTTATAACAACAAATATAAAACAACAATTTTTACAACTTTTATTATTTATTTTTAGAATAATAACAATACATTATTCTTAGTATTTCCCCAAGTTATTTAGTATTCTCGTAGTCCACGCAGATAGAAGATGCATGTTACAACTCATACACCGACGTACCTCCAATAATTACTTATAAGCTAAAAAAAAACAAAAATAAACTAAGTTGGCGTGTGTAGTTATTAAAATACTTAATGTCATAATAATTATTATATTTATATTATATTTATGCTATTTATAATATTATAATCTTAAAATAATGTATTTTGACAAAACAAGAACAGCCCTAAATTAACATCTAACTCACTTTAATTTGCAACATTATAAAATAGCCATTATACAAAAATATTATAGTATTATGGTTGCACATTTGAAACAATGTTACTTTTTCACAATATACATATTAACGATTCGTTTTCCGCATAATGTTTGTCATTTGAACAACTAATTATTTTTCTGTAATCGTTTTAAAACTATATTTATGTGTACACAAAAAAAATATATATTAATATATTTGAATTTATTCACACAAATTGCAGAAATTAAAACAGAGAGAAATGCTTTCACGATAAAGGTCAGATAAAGTACAACTTCAACATTTCAAAATAATAAAACTTAAGACGATATTAAATAATTTATACCCTGATAAGGAGTGTCAGTATGGTTAGGTTAGGAGGGGGGGGGGAAGCAATATCACCCTTAACATTTAAATTCGTTACCTGCCAGCTAATCTGCCAAAATTCTATTAATTGTACATCGAATAGAACAACAATGTAAATATTTTATAAAATATTTGATATTATATTATTATTATATATATTATATTGAACTATATTATAGTTAGTTAGGGTAATATTTGTATTTATTAAAATATGTGTAGCTTATATAACAAGGGATTTATTTATTTTTGTTTTATTATTTCAAGATTTTAAGACGTATCTATTATTGTAGTTATCTGATAAATCTTTATCTAAGTTAAATTGTATTTCATTGAACAGGAATCTTATTACTCTAAATGTGAGAGCAGTGCAAAGCTTTAAGTCGAATTTTATGTATATAATTAGTATTTAGTTCATCATATTATATTCTTTTAAGTCTACTAATTATTTAAATACATTTTGAAATGTTATATTACTTTATACACTCTTTGGAAGTTTTTGCGTTTAATAGTGTAAAAAAAAAACAGAAGCTACTTTGTATATTTCAATAAATCCGACATAATTTAAAAATGAACTGTTTACACCAACCTACTTCACCAAAAAAACTGAAATTACGCCTTTAAATCTGACGTAGCTTTTATTAATTGCTTAATTGTTTTTTCTGTCTCAAATCAAAAATATATAGCTTATACCTGGTATTTACTTTGTACGATTATAATATTATTGTAACAAACGATGTATAAACCTTTTTGGAACCCCGTGACGACATTGTTGTTTTCACCGCGGTAATGAAAAAGCGCAGTTCACGTGGCATAATAATAAATTAATAAAACAGTTGCAACGTTTATTACAATAGTATTATTTTAATATTTCGCAGTTGCGCGTTGTACATAATTTGACATATTGTAATAATGAAATAAACCACAATTATTATTACATTATTGTTATGGTATTTTTGGCGCATTCTTATAATATGCTACGCTGATGCAGTTATTGAAGATGTGTGATAAGAATACTAAGAAGCAATGCACTATGTTCGAAGTCGGCCGTTTATTAATGTATCGAACACAGAATTTTCGTTAGTGAAATACACTCTAGAAACCGCTAAATCCGTTATTCTCACATATATCAACAACGGCATTCAGAATGCGTGTAAAAAATGTGTCGCTTAATAAAGTTAATTCATTTAATACGATTAGTTACGGTACAGGTGACGTTTTTCAAGAGTTCCCTATAATATTGTATGAATAGTATATACCAGGGTTTGAACAAAATCTAGTCGTTACTTAGAATAAAACGTTACACGACTTTTTGTGCTTATTGTTATTTGGATCTAAAATGTTGTACACAATTTGTGTTAGTCGTTATTTTGAATTAAAACATTTTAGATTTTTAAAGGAGATAACATTTTGACAAAAAATGTCTGCAGTATAATATGATAGGGGGAGGGGGGGCAACTATTGTCAGAATTAATCATTTTTTTTAATTTATAGAGGGGAATGATTTAAAGCCTGAATTGAATTTGGTTTTTTTAACAATTTCATCTCAAATTGCATTATGTGTTTATAAAAAAGACAATTTCAAGCTTTTTTAGAAATTATTTTACACTACTATTTGAAATAAAATAAAATATCAGATTTCAATGCTGGCTGTAGAAGGACCTTCCAGTAAAAAAAAAAAAAACATTTATCCAAATCCGACAATACTCGAGGCCTGAAAAATTATCCTGTGATGTAATTTTTGTTAGTATAATACCACCCTACTCCATAAATAGGTATCGGAGAGCAGATAAATGGAAACGTATTATAAGTTATAAACGCGAGTATGAGGGATGTGAAAGAATACAAATTTTAGCTGAGGTAAGGTAAGGTAAGGTAAGTACCACGATAACCATTAAACAGTCTGCAAATGTTAAACATTTTTAAATAAATATACCATATCTTACAAAGTAGCATCTCATGCAATAATAATAGTTGTCGATCGATCTTGTTTTTATACTCAGTTAAAATTCGTATTTTTCTATTTGTATAAATTGCATGAACACAGCAACAATATCGTGCTGCGGATCATTGTGCACTTTAAAAATAGCCGGTAAAAATGCAAAAGCTGACGGTTTCAAAACAAATAAAAATTGAGCTTATAATTTTCACGATATTTATGTATTATATAATAATTTACATATATAAATATGGTTTACTTCAATAAATAATAAATATTGAGATAATATATAGATAAAAAATATTATTTACAAATAAATAGAATATAAATAATAATCGTCGTGGTCACAATAATGCATAATATTAAATTATTATAATAATATATGGGGCACGACGAAAAGGATGTTTCTAAAATAGAATCGTCGACGTACTATACAACTACACGAGTCGTTAAATTTGCAAGTGCTCGTTCGACACCCGTGTATGTACTCGCGAGCCCCCCGTTTCATCCAAATCGTGCACACCGCATATATCATGAAATATATATTACAATATAATAATATTACACACTCACAAACCGACCGTTTTTTTTAGAAAAAAAAAATAATAACTTAACTATAATATGTTGTGTTTACTGCACAAACGCGATCATGCTATTATGTACACAATATAATTATTGAATAATAATACGAAGTACGTCATATACGCTACAATAATATAATAATAATATGCGTTGGGTCGGGTGTCTTAGTCTAGATTTTCGAGTCATTTTTCGTTGGCGTGGTCGTCTTCGGGTGTGGGAATGTAAGCACGGTAAGCAACCCAATGAGGTTCGTGCACCATGGACTTTCTCGCCCATCCGCTGCCGCCGTGTCCGTTGACGCCCGCCCAGCCACTGGGCACTCCGGCGCCTAGAAGTAAAAAAAAAAGTCATTAAAAAATCGATCGCTAAATTGTTGCTGATGGAGCAATGAATGAGAAAATTGCGGCCACGTCAGCCTATCGATGGTCAGTCATCGTGAACATCGCGATGACGGAGTAGATTACCATATTATTGTACACGCATACCGCGTGAACTGGGGAACAACAGCTCATGAGACAATAATAATACAGTCGCAATTACTAGACAACCTCGATGAATCGAATTTTTTCTTGTCCCCTGCGCCCATACACCTTTTTAAGTCATGTTTGAAGTATATAACTCAAAAAATAGATAAGTCGAATTTATTTTTATTTGCCCTGAGATTCGAATTTTTGAGTTATGGATAGTAGACTGCATACCTAACAATAATCAACTGTTAAGCAATTATCGTCATAGTTACCTCTACAAAATTTCACAGAGTCGAAGTGCAGGACATTAAACTTCTGATTTCTACTCTAAAAAGGCAGTGTAGACATAAATGGTTTTTAGTGTGATAATTAGAAATACGAAACACTAAGTTTTCGAAATTAACATGGAGTTACGTCTTATTCGTGGCTTATCATTAACCATCATTAATTGCATATATTCAGATTTTGGGTGCTTAACTATTGCTGAAAGACATTTTTTTAATATCACATTGAATTATTTAAAAGCATGACTAAATATATTATATGCATAATCACAACTTTTTGATACGCTGGTGTTATGGTCTCAACTGGAGTCTGAAAGTGCATATTGTCACTTCGATTTATTAGTTAAAAAAACAATACAAAATGATTAATTCTTTGGAAAATAAAGCTAAAAACACTACCAGGTGAAATTCCTTTCTATGATAAATCATGCAATATAGATATCTATAGATATCTAATATAATACATAATAGTATGTGAGCAGCCCATAACTAAAATGCAACTCGGTGAGAACACACCTACCTAGTTATTTAGCCATGTTTAAAAGATACCTAAACAACACATAGTGGAACGATACAAAATTAATCAATATTATACTATACGGTAATGTTATGTAGGTATAGTGCATCTATTTTCAGTTGATTTGTTAATGTGTGCTGTTTTATCGGTATGCAACGGTATAATAGGCATTTACTATCGTTTTAATTGACTATCGCTCATTTTCGTACTGTGGGAAATATCAACAAAAGAAAATGTAAACGAAAATATTCAAATGTAAGTCTTATTGTGAACTATGGGTTATGATCTGTTTGCCTCGAACCGATATGTAACCTCAGGCTAGACCTCCATTTTCCACTAACGATGTAAACCTTAACAATTAGCGGTTGGTCGCGGTTACGTAGATTCCGTGGAAAATGCGAGTCATCGTCGTTTTTCACTCGTACCTGATGAATAGGAGTCTTGGCCGCCGGCGTACGTGTTGTCGCCGCCGCCGATGTGCGATCCCGCCGAGTAGCTGTCGGCACCGCCACCCGTCGACCAACCTGTTGCCGTGTGACCGGACACCCATCCTGCCGCTGTCCCAGCGCCGTACTCCGCGGCTCCACCGCCTCCTCCCCCGTGGTTGTCGTGTACGATGATCACTTCTTTGCCTAAGTCGTTTGACGTAAGTTTGTCACCGGCATTGTCGTTTTTACTACCCGCGTGTGATATGTACTTACCAGATCCACCTCCACCGCTCTTCTTGCCCTTCAGCAGCTGTGCCAAGCTCATCAGCAAAGCGAGTTTGCTCAAGAGCAGCGCTTTAATGGCCTTCACCTTGATCATCAACATCATCAGCGGACCCATGAGCGCCATTTTGCCCATCAGTCCCATCATCATCATGTGCATCATTTTCTTGTATTTTTTTCCCTTTCCTCGGCCTGATTTTGAAAAACAAGCATGATAACACGATTAAATAATTATTACAATAGTTCGAAAAAATCGATGATAGAATTCTAACAAACATATTCTACTGTTTATTCAATCTCGAGTGGAATGATTATTGTTATATTAGTAATATCATTGTTAATTAGTTGGTTAGTAATGCGCGTTTAACAATTATACTATACACCATTTATTTTTTCATTTATTTCCCACATGTCGGTGAAATTGAATTTTAGAACAATGTCTATATCAATAGCAAATTAAGTATGAAATTAAATGTGTTCTATTGAAATGAAATATACTCTCATTAAAAATATCGTATATAATTTAGGTAAGTACTGCGACTGCAATTATTGGCACGTACTGCGGCGTAGCTATTTTTTTGAAAGTACGATGGGTGTTTAAGTACAATATAATGTATGCCTGGAAATATTACAATAACAATGTGTACATATATTAAAAAGTATACACCGTTTGCACTATAATGTGTTGCGATTCGTAACACGTTTTACATTTTCGTCGAGGAGTTTCTTTTAATAATATCGCGTTAATTAAACCATACGGAAAATATAAGTAATTTTCCGGCGTCGTCGTCGTGCGCTACAGGTTTTCGAATAACTTTAACACTCCGGATCCAATCGCAGCGACTAAAAGTGAAAATTCGACAACGAGTGTAAAATATATCATATTATCATTATTATTATTTGTAGTTTGTCCGTCGTCCACGACGATCGCCATCGCGGATTATGTACGTCGTTTTATTTTCTTCTTCGTCTCCCCTCGGAGCCGACGGCTGGAGACGAGTATCGATAATAATTTGGACGTCGCCACCGTCGCAGTCGTCCGCCTGTCGATTATGGAAAAATAATTGACGTTTCGTCGGAAAATTTAACGACTCGCGATTCGTCAGGGTGTATTGACAAAATGTATGGAGTTTTACACGAGCGATACACATAACTGGTACGATTAAAGAGCCGTAATCAAGTGACTGTTGTGCGTGGTACCATACCATATTATATTGTATAGGTATACCACGCTGAACGACTATATCACATAATGATAATAAAAATAATAATATACTTTGATGGTAATTTATGTGATCGGTGGCCTGTAAAAGTCGCATCCAGGTCAGATAATATCGCGTCGAACAATAATTATATCGCTTTATATTGTATACAGGTGCCTATATAGTAGGAATAGTTAAAGAGATAATAGAAGAAAGAGGAAAATAAAAATACGAAACATGACGTGTATTAGGTATACTGAAAACTTAACTGGTAATTAGTAATTAATAATTACGTATAGACTCGGTGCTCGATTATCACTCGCCTTAAAGAAAATATGTCTTTCTCAGCTTTCCTCTTAATTAATATTGACATAAAAACAATCAGACTGAACACACGAAACGAATTTCTGTCTAATAGTAAAAATAAAATATCGATCGTAGACCATCTACCGGTAAGTTTCTGGTGCAAGCGCAAACTCATGATATACTTATACCTATACGTCTGTATAATGACATAATGTCAATAATATATTAATACGAAGTGAAGACTCACGTGCGTTGTACAAAACTTAATTTTAAACATACAAAGTGTGAAAAATGTAATTTTTATCGCATTATTAAAAATAACAGATGTGAAATTTCAGTGTGACATTGCAACTTTGCTTAGTGGTGGTTTGTGTGAGAATAATTAAATAACTATAACGTTCAAATTAAACAATAATATAAATCGGTTCTTGTAAACGTTTTTGTGTTTTGATTAAAATATTAAACAATGTATACTAACATTTAAAATAAAAATTGAATTTATTTTTAACTTTCAAAATCAAATAATATTTATCACATAATTTGTTTGCATAATTTAACTGTTTCATTTTATATTTTCGATTTTTGATAATTTGTTCAAATATCAATATATTATGTTTCTTTGTCCTAAACGTATAATTTGATTATATATTGAGCATTTTTTTTTTACATTTTTCAATCACTTATTATACTTTTTGTATCAACATTACTTCCAATAGTTTGTTTAGTTATATTATCGGAATATTAGATAATGGACGATCGGAAAAGTTGCTTTGGTGCAGATGGTATAGTATTCCCAGAGCTTTTCAACATTTTTTTTTACAACTTCGCCCATCTATTAAGATCCATAAAATAGTGACTCACTTAAAATTAATTAATTAAATTTTAAAAAAGCAACAATTATAAACCTATAATATGTAAATTGAGAATGAGCTGACTATCTTCACACTTGTCTTTTCTGCGGTTTTTTATCATCAAGTCACAACTCCATAATAATTTCATACGTATTTCATACTTCAAACACATACAATATTTAAATAAACAGTTTTTCGGAGACACACACATACACCGCGGTAATCCGCAACACACCTGTTGAGAACCACTGTCCTATCCTATACAACATCGAAGACAGTCACCACACGTACCTTCTCCGATGGCCCGAGACAAGTTTATGTCCAAAGTGTTGCCGGGGATGGACCGAGCGTTTCCTTTTAGCGCCGCCGTGATTCCGGATGGCAAAGTGACGCGGAGAATGTGCGACCCGATGAAACGGTCGAGGGTGTGCACCATTAGCGCAGACAGGGCGCTCTGTTCGTCGACGGTGTTGAGTCTGGCCATCAGGTCGGTCTCGTTCAGGGGTGGTCGCATGTCCCTCTTGATCCTGACCACCGACAGCAGATCACCCAAAACGCTGAATCCTGCAAAAATATAACCGTTTGAGTGAGTACAAGACGACAAAATATACCTATATACTTTGGATAGATATCTAGAATAGGTACGCTCTACGTTTAATTCAAAATGAATCATTGTTTGTACAAATTAAATATAAGATTTGTGAATTCATTATTTAAACATATTTTTTTTTTGTTTGTCAATTCAGTTTACTACTGCAGGCCAATGAATAGTTGGCAGGTACAATTTTTCATATTAGTATTAGTTCGTGGTTTTATCAACCGTTTTATCATTTTCATTAAGTACGACATGTTTCATTACGACTTGTTACAAACAAGTGGTATCAGATTGTGATTAATTTGAATGTAAATTAATACATGACCCAAAGAGGTAATTTATTGGAGACGATCGCATGAGTCCAACGACAATGACACCAATCGGTCAATTGTTGTAATTTTTTAATAGTATTGATCTAGATTTAAAACGTCGAAGCGGTCGGTGAGTAGTAATACTATTATCAACTACAGTCGTTGTATTGTTGAGATAATCTCGATTCGCGACTCTCAGTCGGAGAAAACTAATCGACCTAGAGGGTGGTGGCCTGTTAAAATAAAAATGTTTCAAACAAACGGCCAGATAACCTTGCACCAGACTGGTGATTTGTCACGCCCGTTTAATCAAATTATTCTGTAAATTTTTGTTTCTGAATTTTGTCTGCATCATTTTTTTTTACTATGTGTATAGGTTCAGTAAGTGCAAAACGCACTAATAAAACATTCTCCGTCATCCCGGCAGGAGTAAAAAATTGTGAAATTGTTATTTGAACAGACGATGCAGTAGAGTCTGCAGTTTGCAGTCTAACGGACGTTTAGGAAGAAAACGGCAGCGAGACCATGGAGTTCCCACATGAAAAAAAAGTGAGTCGTATATTAATGCGTTATTATAATAATGTACTGGTTCAGAGAGGAGATCTGGAGTGGAGGAGCGGTGACATCGTGACTGGTCAAAGATCGAACACGAATGTGTGGTGTACGAAAGAAAAATGCGATAGAAAAATAAAGAAAACTTAAGAGCAGAGTAGCTGATGAAATTACCATTACAAAGGGCTTTGTACACACACACACACGTTCACTATCTATCATTATTGTACTTACTATACACACGGCAAATGGGATTTATAATATGTGTATATAGTGTGAATGGGATGGAGAACACAATGGTTCGTCTTCGCGGCGTCGTGTGACCCATTAATGGTGTTTAAATACGATGAATCCATAGCGGTGACAGTGTGATGATGATGATGATGATGATGATAATAACAGCAATGACAACAATAATAATAATAATAATAAATGGATAATAGTCGTCGTCGTCTATAAAGTCTCATGTGGCCGATATAAATATGAAAATATGGTTATAATATATTATTATTAATATAATTATCATCATCATCACACATGGGACCCACCTGACGGTAAACTATAATAATATGTCGGCCGATGTGGGTTACGGCGTTTTCCCGACAGCCTGTTTTCCTGCGGCCTACGCGCCAATCGAAATCTCAGCTCGCCGCAGAAGAAACCGTCGCGAATGACGGCGGCGGATCCTTTATATCATCATTATTATTATTATATTGTAATGGCCCGGTCCGCGGTAAATAGACGAAAACTAGAATATATAGTATTGAACGCGAAAACAAAAGTAAACAACGTAGTACAATAATAATAATAACAACAATAATAATAATATCGTCTGGCTGCATACTATATATACATAAGTACACTGCAGTGTGCCGGCGTTTCTAATTCACCGGGAAAACTGACAGATTTTGCTAATTTCCGGAGGCGAAAACAATAATAATACATTTTTTTCAAACTCTCCTATCTCGTTTTCTGCGGGTCCTCTCTTGAAATGGCGGTCCATTATAATGTCTAATTATCTCTCGAAGAGTGTAACTACGTATTTTCGTAATATTTGCGAGTTAGTTGGAAATAAAATATTTATAAGTAAGCGGGTGGTAATAATTATTAATTATATTGTACGGGTTCTTGAAATAAACACACGCTATTGTATTGCTATTTGCTATTATGTCAATAATTGTATCAATGCGCCAATAGAGTGATTGATCAATAGAAGATGGATAATATGTTTTTTTTTTTCTGGACAGTAATTTATTATTGCGTATAAAAAAATGTCTGTTGACAAACACACGGTATCACGTGCTCACGGTGTTTATGCATTTTTTACTTTTTAGTTTTTACGTCTGTTTTTATAGTTACTTATATAAAATGTATTAATACATTAAAATATATTTAATACTCGGCAAAATCTGATTCGAGCTCAATTGTTCGACTTTAATTTCGTATTTTGTCAAGGCGTTTATACTTTATATTATTATGTATACCTACCATTATTATGTCGGGGAAACCGATTTCAATTTTTATTTGATTCCGTCACTTTTGCTCTCTCGATACATTGAGATAATTCGATCTCAGAACTATCCAATATTATAAGAGTCATCATAATTAAATTATCAACAATCGACGCCGACGATGACTACTTATAACACCGTCGTGAAAAAAGTGTTTAAACGTCCTTCGATTTCGCGGGTTTAATCGCATTTAATCTCTTCTCGGACGAACCTCTCTCAAGTAACTGCGGCCTGCCTAAATATACATCAATTATAATAATATCGACCGACTCGTAGTATTCGGAGAGTTTCTACTTTTTTTTATACGTTACAATTTAACACGTTTTCATAAAAATATCGTCTACTATTATGAATCATCTCAGACTTGCTGTAGTTTAAGCATATATATATAGGTACCAATAGTACAACACATAACACTGCAGCAGCCCACTTTTTGCGTTATTCATTCCTCTGCAATACTATACGAGCGATGATGTTTCGGATTGTTTTTTTTCACTCTTTCCATTTTCCAGTGGTGAGAACCATGTTGAAATTCCATCACCCCATAGCCTAGTAATAATAATAATATGGCACGGAGCACAATAGGACACTCGGCGCATTATTCATATATATATATATTATATATATATATACGTAGGTATACCTCACACTAGAATACGTCATTGTGCTGCCCATTCTCTATCGACTGTAAATACAGAACGATATTGTAATGAGAACGAGTTATTATATTATTGTACGTTTACGTTATTATTATAGAAATGTCGTAAAATATTATTATTGAAAGAAAAAAACCGATTATACGAGTGTTAAGGAATAAGACCAAATACCTGCAGTCATCGTCGCCGGACAACACGTTTAATACAATATATTATTTATTATTTATCTTGGACACCGTCGTCACCATCGCATTGTGCGTGGAAAACGTGCGTTTATTTTTCTATAATGAAATAAAATTCGGCGATTGACGGGTAGTACAATTAATCCGGCACGTCACGTTAGACGAGATTCGGACGTCACGTCGACGTACGTTTTAAATGGGTCTATCTATTATTATTTATTATTATAATATTATAATACATAATATTATACTCAAATTCATTATGCGGTATAGTAAATAATGTATTATTAAGTATAACGAATATTTTAGGGACGTGTCATTATTATTATTATTATTATTATTATTATGCGTTATTTGATGAGAAAAATATTGTAATATTTAACAGCCCATTGTTCTTTGGTCACTATATTACAGTACTATGGAATCACGTTCAATAAACATCAGAACGTCGTTAAAGTATAACAAACTATAATGTGTATGCGGTCGAGTTAGTGAAATGAACGAGGGGAACCGTGACTTGTCTATGTGTATTTAAAATTGAATCATACCGAATCTTAAATAAAAAATAAAATATATATATAGGCGATAAAAGTGATTGATATATATTTTTTATGTCTATATGAATAGTATATGAATAGTATTTAAATATTTAACATTCGGTTACATTCGGTCCAACCGAAAATGAAAACACCAAGGCCGATTTCACCATGCTTTCAACTTAATTTTGACATTTTCCACGGGAACCCGCGTCTGTCTCTCAACAATTGTTTGCGTATTGAATTGATCATTGTATTTTTACTATTTAAAATAATGGATTCGTCTGAAATTATTAGTGTCAAATTATCGAGACATTTGTAAATTATTTGTTTTGCTACACAATTCAATCGAATTTTTTTTCTCCGGCAGGTTATATCTTATTCATTAAACAGTCGTAAGTATAATATGCTAATTTTTTCCTTATGTGTGATTTACTTCAAATGTTTCAAAAAATACTAATGAAACATGAATATTATATTATCCCGTCGCTTTCTCATTATTTTAACAAAAAATCGAATTTGGTCGTTAATGGTTATTGTCGGAAAGAGATCCACATCTGATCCAACCGAAAGTAAACTGTTGAATTCTACGCTTATATTTCGGCCACTGGTATTAAGCGTTTCACTTCAGTAAGATCTATTGTCAAGTTTTTGAATAGATATTTTGGTGCTAGTTTAACAACTAACTATAACCCAACTATACGCTACTTGAAATGTTTTTCCGGCTTTCCTATATTTTTTTATTATTATTTTTTTTTTTTGTCAGAGAATAACAAATTGAAATAAACATGACCATAGAAATCGGCTGAGAAGATCTAAGCACGTAAAAATGATGGTGTGATGACTCTAAATATTGACACAACTCTAACACTAGACACGTAAGTTTACATATTATTATTATCTTTTATCCGAGATATAATAAAACGAGAAATGGCAATCAATAATCCTTTTATTCACTTCTACCCCTCAGGGAAGTGGAGCAATTTATACATCAATACATGGGTAGAACTAAAAAATTAAAATGTATAAAAAGTATACGATGTAATATAATATCCGTCTAGTGTATACGTTGTACATGAAGGTACTTAAACTACTCTCAAATTAGGAGGATAGGTGGGCCTTTAAAACTGTAAATATTATATGTGACATATTTAAAGCACTTATATTATTATTATTATTATTCGTTATTCATTATATCTGGAAATTTTTATATAAATATAGGATAGAATAAATATAGAATTTATTGACATATTATAATAAAGTATTAAAACAGTTTTTATAAACAGACAACAGTTGTATAGGTGGTATATTATTATAATATATTATATCGTCGTAGTTCAATAATGTAGAAACCAAATTGCCCAAATTATACGGAAAATATGGTGAAAGGTCAATTTTTATAATTTGCTACCTATCTATAAACAATGTGTTTAATGGGCCGCAATTTTCTTAACGTTACCTCAATGTACACATCTATAATATGATACAATTAAGCGACCGTATACCTACGTGGTACTACGGTACCTACGCGTATACCTACTTAAGTACTTATATAGTTATAACATTTTCTTGTTTAAAAAATCATATCACAGTGGTATTTTGTTTTTTTAAATTTTTTTTTATATATTATAATATTATGACGGTATAATGATATAAATATATATTTTTTTAATTTTCGAAACTACACAATATATAATGACGTAGTCACGTATCAAATTTCCAACGGCATTAATCTATAATAAAAATAGTATCAAACGTTTATCGTCTACATTTTTTTGTAGGCATGTTACTCATAATCAATAATAATATTTTAGCGATGGGAGTGTTTTTCGAATCTACTACACTATATGTCTATATCATATTTTAATGTCGCATGTCACTAATAGGGACTTGCACTTACCCATGTCAAATGTTCGACGGTGTAATATTTTAAATTTAATAAAAATCACTGTCTTCTGTCATTTGGTTTTAATTTTATTTGCGACAGGACATAGTGTTATAACAGTGATATTATTTTTATATATATATTTAACATTGTATTATGAGGAAAAAACTTCTTAATAGATTTCACGGGCGGAATACACGGACCGATAATTTGTGTTTCGAACGAATAAAGCGCGTTACACGCCCAGAAACCGATTTCGCACAAAACCGTTTTCACGGCATAACGCCACACAGCCATAATATACAATATTATATATATATATATAATAATATTATATATATATATATATATATATATATATGTATTAATACATTTTTTTTTATTATTCGCTCGATCATCGGACGACGAAAACCTGTAAACAGCTATGGAGGGGCTTCGTACTTTTGCAGGTTACAAGTGTACCTACCGTGTCGGTATGAGTGACGATAAGCGAATAAGAAGTCAAAAGATATTCGGGATGAACCTGTACTGAAACCCTTTGTAACGGCGTGTTTACAAAAAATTATCATCGAAATTTATAAACATTTAAATCGATCTTGTCTAAATCAAGGGGCAGGTGCATAAGCCTGTGTCTGACTGACTATGTCACTGCGGACATTAGGTACCCGCTATGAGGAAACGAAAACACGGTTACGGTGACGACTACCAACACTCACCTTTCATCCTGCCCAGTTTGTCCAGGAACAACAACAACTTGCGCTGGACGCACGGGAACGACAGCTGCATCAGACAGTCGGTGTAGATGTCGACCAGATGGGCGCTCGGGTCAGTGGTCGGGTCGTCCTGTTTTTCCTGCAACAGCGAGTTGGTTGCGGTGCCGGCTGCCTGATCGGAGCCCATCGTGAAGCTCAGGAACCTCGAGTCCCTGCTATCGTCTTCGCCACTGCCAATGGTGCTGTTGTACACCACTATGGTCGGCGGAGATTCGGAGGCGCTTGCAGCGCCGAAGATCGCGGACTCCGTGGTCCAGTCTGCGGTTGCCGACGAGCCGTTCGCTACCGCGGTCGCGGTTTCCGGGACGGCTAGGGCGCTGGCGGACGCGCACCAAGCCGCCGCGGTTAACAACATTGACACCGCGCACGACACCATGGTAGTAATATCGTACGTCGTGCCGGAGACGGAGTTAAGTCGACGGGTTTATGTGTTATAAATTAATCTTAAGAAATCGATAATAAACGTTGACGCGACCGGTGGAAACGAAATAAAAATGAGACGCGTATGAAGACGAATTATATTAACTATTAATAATTCACTGGTTGTACCGAACGCGAACGTTACCAGAGCGGTATAACTACAACGAACACGAGTCCAAGACGTTTTATACGACCGTCTGAGCGGGCCTTCCAGTGTTATAGTGGCTGTGGAGGACTCCCCTTCCTAAACGACGACATCCGCGAAGACCGCGCGCTACTGCAGCAACCAGTGGCGGTGGCGTTAAGCCGAAACCGCGAAGAACGCGATACGCGAGAGTTGTCGTTTTTACCGTTGTTACTTTTTTCAATAATTGTTCGACGAAAATTACAAGGCACACACGATGTAATACTATCTCGATAACGATTATCCGAGTTAATGGATATCAATATTATAATAATGTTATTATCTCCCGGCGGAAACAATTTCCAACAACAAATCCATTAGGTACCATCTGAAACACTATACATTATGTAAAATCCATGAAGATAATGATATTGTCGAACGCATGACGCTCATATTCGCGTATAATGTTCTGTATATTATTTTACTAATTATTATGTTACTTGAATCGAATGCAGCTGAAGTGTGCAGGACGAGGATTTCGAAAATTATTAAATTGAAAATGGAAAGGCATACAGAGGCGATAAAATATATTTTATGGCATAGGTACGTATTTTATGATGTACAGTTGAGTCTTGATAACTCGAATTTCAAAGAGAATAAAAATACATTAAACTTATATATGTATTTTGAAGTTATATACCTCATACACAAGTTTTTTTTATTATTTATAAAAATATTTACACACTGTTAACTGACACAATAGGTATATTTACAACTTAAAAACACTGCAAGGAGCAAGAAAAATACGTGAGTTATCGAGGTTCAATTAGATGACCAACTGTATTCAATACTTATGCAATATTGCTATTATAGTAATTTATTTTACTTTTCTTTTGTTTTACAGAATTATGCAGAAAACTAACATGAATTTTTACTCTATACCCCCCCCCCCCCAATTTATTCATCTGGACTATTTTGTTTACCATAAGAGATATTAATTTGAAAATTTATGCATTTTTACTCCTCCAAAAAATGTAGACAGGTTCAAAAACACTATTTTAAAATTAATTCAGGCAATTTTTCAACAAAATGTTTTTTAATTCTCTAACATTGATTTTAAATTCACAAAAAAATCAATACAATGTATTGAGAATTATCTAACAATAAAAAAAAAAAAATAGCTAAAATGTATTAACTCCAGGGCTTGCAAACGTTATAATAACGTTATGATTATAACGTTATATTTGATAAAAAACGATTGAAAATTGCAAACGTAATTATAACGGAAAACGATAAACGTAAATAAATAAATAACACAAAACAAAACGTAACGTTTAACAAAATGTATGATGTATCATTTAACAAAACATAGCGCAAAACGGTATAATATATTGTATTCCATTAAACGAAATAATTAATTCCCAATTATTTAATAATACTTAGTAGTATTCAATTATTTATTCAATCCAAGAATTAATTTTATTCCGTATCCGGCCAATCCGGGAGATCCCGTATTAGATATTATTTTAAAACTTAATAAGAAGTTATTAATAGAATAAGTTAATTACCAATAGCTATAAATAGTGATGCTCTAATAATATTGTACTGTACTATCTGTACTACGGTCGAAATTTATATCACTCAAGTTATTCAACTATTGTGTTCGGTGTTCAGTTTGCTCAGATTTATTCACTCGTCAGTGTTTGTCTAATTGTTGTCAAATGTTTAATATTTATATTTTATACTAATATACTTATAGTTTTAACGTGCATACGTTTTCTTTATATTAGTTTAACCCATTTAATTAAATAAATAAAATTTAACAATACCTACTTAAAACTCAGAATAGGGAAATGATGTCCCCAAAAAAAGGTCATAGTCGTATACTTTTAAATTGCGGCCTGTGTACTTTTAAAACAGGTATCTAAATAGTTTTAAATTTTAAATAACGATAAACATAAAAGTTGAATAACGTTTAAATTTTAAATAACGATAAACTCAAAATTTGTATAACGTTTTGATTGTAAATAACATAAAACAAAATTTATTTTTCAAATGCAAGCCCTGATTAACTCTGTATAATAATTGATAGTTTGCATAATTGTGTTTTTCAATACTGTAGGTAATCAAAAGATTTTGAATGAATATTCACTCACAATTTAATAACGATTTTGGAAAAAAAATTATTAATTACATTCCCCTCAATTTTATTTTAAAAGGAAACACAATTTACCTTTCATAATTTTAGATTTTGTACTAAGGATTTTAATAATTGATTTTAAAGTAGTGCTTGTTCTCTTTTGTTTTTTATCACCTTGTGGAAGAGTAAAAAATACTTCAACCGTAAACTTTCATAGAGTTTCTGATGAAAATTCATAGCTAAAATAAATTAATTAGGAGGGATTTGGCGTACTTTTCAAAATAATATATAATTTTAAAAATATTTTGACTATTTTTGTGCTATTTTAAACATTTGACATTTTCGAATTTTTTAGTTTTTTTTTTAAATTTCATAATGCACCTGTGCTCACATTTTATTTGTTAGTAAAAACGCTTGGAAATATAATACAAGATTTCACATACGATGTTTTTAATTCGATAAATAAAATATCTCAAATTCACAATTGTGTTTTGTACAAGTTTAAAGTTTTACGAAATTCATCAAAATAGTGAAAATGTATGTGTTGAAATGTAAATTATTTTTTTGTTAAAATATTTTTTTTTTTTAATACATAAAATTTGAAAGTTCAATACAAGCTTTCTCATAATCTTAAAGATGAGTTAATTTTTAGAAATTATAAAAGGTTCAGCATAATCGAATTTTGAAGTTTGAAAAATACTAACCACACAAAAACGTTTAACCTGAGTAGTTATTACTAAGTGTCAAGATTTGTATTCTCCCTGTATCTTACGCATTCTATATCATCAAAAGTATTCCTTGGCTTCAAACCTATTATAAGTTGTATACAAGAGGATTTACTGTGGGTTGGATGGATACACTTATCCTATTTCATTTTTAAAAAGAAACTAATAGTTGAAAATAAGAGAAATTAAGTTGAATGTACATCCTCCAAATCTCCAAATCCCTTCGCCCTAAACTGAAAAGGCGTCGAAGTATTTACCTTCGTGGCTTTGTTGCTACATTATCCTCAAACAGACGAATAAAACAATTAATTGTCAATAAGGCAGACTAATAATTAATTATCATTGTCCACACACAGTGAAATATAAAAACTATTTAGAGTAATATCAAACTATTTATTTTAAATATTTATAAATGTTCAATGCTTTTCAATTTTAATAAAAATAATTTACGTGTTATGTCAAAAACCTTGAAAATATAAAACTAAATTAATCTTGAGTTTTAATTGTAGCAATAATAACTCAATATCAAAAATATATAAGTGTAAGCATAGTTTTTTAAAAAAAAAAAAAACATCGGTTGTTCATCATATTTTGATAAAATTCATTAAAATCAAAAAAAATGCAAATTATTTTATGATTTTATTTTCAAGGCTTAGAATACTTGGATGTTTGATATAAGATTCCCCATACTTTTTTTTCACAGTAACCTAAAAAATCTTAAACATACACAGGTATGCGTATAATTTGTTTTTTTATAAAACTTTGATGTTTAAATTCTTACGATAATAGATATTCAAATGCACAAGTATAACGAGTTTGGTTATTTTATTGCAAATCGAAATTTAAAAAATATTAACTGTAGGAAATTGAAACTATTGCCTATGCAATGTATATTTTTATTTACAGTAGATACGCAATTCAATTTGGATGGATTTTAAGATATTTAAATCATGAATCTATTATTATATTCACATCGTTTTACAGTTTGTCGGTATTGACTTATATTACTACTAAGTTAATAAAAATACCTAGTAATATAATATGAAACGACATATTGATAATTTTTTTTTTTTGTTATTAATTTAAGCCGCAACAACTAAGGTTATTGGCATGTTGTACGATGTAAAGATTAACTTATGTGCTAGAGGGAATTATACATATTAAATACAATGATAGTTGTTTACATAGGTTAAACGTTAAAGTATGTGAATATAACATATAAAATACAAATATCAAATGAGGTTATACAGTTTAGTAATTTTAAGAAACTTTATGATTTTGATATTACTTTCGTGATCGGGTCCAAGTGCTTCATATTATAGATTGCTCAGGAATACCTTTTTTTTTTTTTTGTGTGCTATCGAGGGCCAGAGGGGGGACCGCGTTAGCATTACTTCCCCTCTGGCCCCAAACAACTCAGGAATACCTAAGGCTGTTCTTGTGTCTGCGTAGTTTCGACAGTATAGGAGGATATTTTTAACCGTTAGATCTTCCCCACAGGTTGTACATGGGTCTGGATCTTCACATAATATATATTGATAATTATTAAATAATATAACATGAGATATTTTTTGTCTAAAATGTGTTCAAGCTTCCTTTTACCTTTATGGAAAAAATACTTATAGCAATTATAGCTATACAAATATTTAATAAAATATCCTTAGAAATATAGGCTGCTGGATCGACTGCACTCAAAATACATTTTTATAGTAGCCTCGGAGTTTTGTATTCGGATTTGTACTGAATCAATGTCGTTCTTGTCTCTATATATATTATGTTACGATGATTTTTAAATTTATCATATTAATTAATTGGTAAAAATCATGAAATCCATCTTTTTTACTTAATATTGATGAAATATTATATTTTTTTTTTCCAATACAATATTTGTTAGGTGGGAAAGTCAACAGCAATTTTAAGTTAAGTAAGGTACGGGTATAATTTTTGAATACAAAAACAAGATTTTTGTACCCATATTTATAATATTCCTTTTACAATACTTGCTGTTTTGTACCTTACATAAATATTAATAAAACACATTATCCATCTATCTCATAAGATTTGTTCATTGCAAATAACATTTTTATAAATACCAGTATATATATTTTATGACATTATGACTGTATAAAAGGAAATTGTGTCTAATTTTTTCTTCATTGAACAAAATTGTTTAATCTATGTTTTCACTAAGATCTTTAATTTGTACCTACGCAAAT